CATTTCCCACTTTAGACCAAAACTTAGTGCAATAGAGGTTGTTCTCTTTGTCCGCTCATATTTTTTCATCTTCTAACTCACTTTAAATGAAGTTTATATATTTCTTCCATCAACCCCTAACACATAGCAAGTCTAGATGAGTATTTGTTGGATAAGAAGATACATCAGTTATAAAATTTCCCAGTGCTAAAGAATTGGTGAGGTGGAGGTGCTTCCCCATGTGGTTCACCCCAGATGAACTGATACCCTGAGGGTTAGCAAAAGGACAGAACTGAAAAAAGAAACTTCTCATCTCATGAGGAGAAGAAAAACAAAACATGTAGGTAACATTCATATGGTAAGGGAAGTAAAAGTAAAAGAGTTAGAAGGTAATTAATGGAATTTTAGACACCATCATTAAGGTTTTAGTGCCTAGGGTGAAAGAGGGAGAGTGAGGGTCCTACAGGCCACTGCGCTGGTCATACTATCCTTGAACGACATTCTAGGCTGCCCCCTTTAACAAGCACAAAGACAAAATGGAACCATTCTGAGGAAGAGAAACTGGAAACAACATCAAATGAGAAGTAGTTGATGGACTGAAACACAATATTCATATCCTCTAAGGCCAACTATGGGACTTTCATGAAGATGATGATGATGATGATGCTAAAACAGCCCGTTGATTAGAATGATGAGAAGCATCTAAGCTCAGTCCCTCACTGACTCCTATGCAGTGATGTGCTCATCTCTGCCACTTTCAACATGCTTTGACCATCAGAAAGCAAGCCTAACTAAGGGAAGAACATTTCAACTCCAGTTAGAGTCTTAGTGGTACCAAAGACTCTGTTTCAATGACACCGAAGTGGCTTGACAGATCACTGTCAGGGTGGATTTTCTGCATCCTCTATGGGCCTCTTCAAAGTCAAGAAACATTAGGCAACAGCAAAGAAAAGACATCATGGAAGAGCAGGCTGCCATCTAATGTGCATAACAGTAAACAAAGGTGGTGCATTTGTGTGGGGAGAATGAGTGATGGGAGGGGCAAGCAGGTGTTTTATAGAGAGAAAAGCATATTGGATAAAAAGCCCAGTAGTATCTGAGCAAGGATGGACAACAAGGAATAGGGTTCAGAAACTTACCCACAATTATGCAGACAGATGGTTTCTGACAAGAGTGACTCTGTGTTGCAATGGGAGTAAATGATTTTTTCAATCACTGAAATTGGGTTGACTATCCACAAATCCACACTGAAAAAAATTGAACTTGGACAACCATTTATAATACATCAGCCACAAGTATTAATTACAATGGATTGTAGGTCTTCTAGAATTATATAGACTATCTTCATGATCCTAGGGCAGGCAAAATTTTCTTTTAACAGGGTACATAAAAACACTAAGAATAAAGGAAAAGATTCTTAGATTAGACTCAATTAAAATTAAAAACCTTTGTTCTTTAAAAGATATCATTAAGAGGGTGAAAATGTAAGCCACTCAGTAGAAGAAGATACTTATAATATTTATATCTGAGGAAACTGAAGCCAGCAGTATGAATAGACCTTGCAAAACATCAGAGTTTTCAGTGACAGTATTAAATTAGCAATCCTGACCTCCTGAAATTAAAGCCAATGCTCTAACAGTGTCATTAAGTTCAATTACATGTAAGATCTCTGTGACTGGGAACAAGAAAACTGAAATCTGTACCTGAGTTTCTTTACTTATAAAATAGAAATAATAATCCTGTGGTAATTAAAATGATACAAATAAAATACCATAGTGACTGACAAATAGAAAATTTTGCAGAATTTTAGAAGTAGTGGTTATAGCAACAATGATGAGGATGATGTAATTAATATAATTATTATTAAGTAATAGCTTTACAAACTGCCATGAGAGACAAAAAATGGGAAGATCGTTACTAACTGAATCAAGCACCACAGATATTTTAGCCAAGCTGCACAGGATGTGTTACAATCAAAACCACGTGAGCTAGTTGGAGCGTAAGCTATAGAATAAAAGGAAAAAGCTATTTAAGAAAAGCCATGAAGTTCCTTGAATAATGAAAAATAAGACACACCTCTGTCAAAGAGGGTTTCAAATGTCAGGCTGAACATAATAGGCTTTCTATCTCTAGTTTCTGTCATTTTTCTTGCTAGTCAAACTCTGGGCATGGGATGTGAAAATCAACAGGTGGCCAACAAACATCCCCATTCCAGCAAGTATTATCAACACCCATTAGAGCTATTCTTTTAAGTTTTGTCATCGTTCTTTATTCATGTGAATAATTAGTCCTTGAACCAGAAGGGTGTAGGTCAGAATGTGTTTGCTTTAGTTCCCAAAGACATACGTGTATAAATATGTACCCAGAGAGGTAAAGAAGGGAGAGAGTTACACAAAGCTAGGCATGTAAACATATTCAGTATGACTAATAGTCTAGCACAGTAGCAGGGCTGCACCAGGCCATGCACTTCCCATCCCCCCGGGGCAAACAATATTTATTCTGTCAAGACACTGATCATATATAGCTTCAATATAGCATCTTTTGTTCCAATCTATAGATGGAGGATGATATCATTACTAACTAGCAATTATAATTCCGGGGGAAAAGGGGGATAATATTTTTACACAATATTTATTTCCAATTTCTAGGTTTATTCTCACACCAGATGCATACATTATGATATGCAATTTTGCAGTTGAGAAAACTGATCTATCCAGAGTCATGTAACAGGTGAAATGGCAGGTGTGTAATTAGAGCCAGGATGTCTCTCCACCAGTTTTGTTTACCCTCTTCAACTCGCTGTTTCCAAAGGACCATTTCCCATCACAATTTTAGGGCCAGTTTCTAACTAGATTATATCTTAGTATTGTAGTGATTTGAAGGAAAAAAAAAAAACTGTTTGAGGTCCACAGAATATTACTGTGGTAAAATGTTTGTCAAATTGCAAACTGATGAACAATAGTAAAGCAAAAGAGGTAGAGAGGAGTCAAATTTTTCAGGGCCTACCCTTCCTGAGGATTTTGAGCAATGAGAAACTGAAGAGAGACATGATCACATCTGCACTCTGTAAAGATCCCCTGATTGTTCTATGGGCAGCAGCGTTGAGGAAAAAACAACAATACACGTTGGGAAACCATCTAAAGGAAATTGCAGAATCCCAGGGGGAAATGGTGGTCTCATCTTAGACATGAAAGTGGAAGGTGGTAAGAAGTGTCTAGAATTGAGGTTAGTTTGGACACAGACCCAAGAAGAGAACTTGGTAACAAATTAAGTGAGGAAGATGGTGTGTGAAAAGGGGAAGGAGAAGCAACGGGGAGGACACTGGGGTTTTGGCTTGAGCAATTCACTAGAAAGAAAAGAAGCAGTGGGGAGAATAAAGAGAAAAATGTTTGTGGTGAATGATCAAAATAGCAGAATATGATGTATTGGATTTGAGGCGCCTATAGGATATCCAAATGAAGATGTCAAGAAAGCACTTGACATCTGCAAAGCTTTTCCCTTTGCTAAAAACCAAAGTCCCCACTGTGGCCTACATGGCACGTCATACTCTAGGCTCTCCCTGCTTTGTTTATCTCATCTCTCCTTTTTCTCTCTGTCCTTTGCGCCAGCCACACTGTCCTCCTGGATGTTTCTCAAACACGTCAAGCCAGCTTCTGCCTCAAGGCCTTTGCCCCTGCTCGTCTCTCCGTCTGGAAATCATGTTCCGGGATATCCGTGTGGTTCAGTTTCTCACTTTTTTCATGTCTCCGTTTGAATGTCACCTGATCAGCAAGACCTCCTCCCACCACTCTATAATAAATATCTCCCAAATCCTCCAGCATCCCTTATCCTCTCTATTCTTTTCTCCACGATATTCAGGATCTGATGTATTTTATATCCTTTATTATTTTTTATAGTCTGACTGCCTCAACTAAAATGCAATGGAAGCTCCATGAAAACAGAGACTTTGGAAACTTTATTCACTGATCTGTCCCAAGAGATTATTACAGCTCTTGTTAAGACCTGGGAAGAGTCTGAGATTTTACCCTGCAAGTCAGCCTGCCACAGTACAATGGATGCTGGCAGAAGACACAGACTCTTGGGTCCGAGACCAGGGACTTAATTATTCCATAGCAATAGCCAGAGTGTCAGCATTTATTCTGTTTCCCAAGCCCCAGTTTCCAGAGGACTATACGAAGAGCGCCAAGTGATACCTGCACAGAAAGTACAGCATGTCACAGGAACAGGACGCCAAAGTTTTAGAACTCCTACATCTTTTTAAAAGATCAGTAAACTCACCTGACCTTACACTGGAAGAAGATATTATCTTTTCTATACTAGACAAACCTGCCTTTTGCTCCAGAGGGAGACATTATTTTATTTTCCAAGGGCATTTTTTACACAAAGACCCTTGAAAAGAGAGTCTGAAACAAGGGTAATCAGTACCTCTATTCACAAAACATGCAAAAACACAGGAGAGAATAGAGAATTATCTCCTGACAGCATGCAGTAGACACTCAATACATATTTTCAAGTTAAAGGTCAATCGTTTCAGTTAGGTACTATTATTATTTCAATTTTCAGGTAAATAAATCAAGGCACAGCACAAGTAAACCAACTTTCTAAGAACACACAGCTACTAAGTCACTCCAGCAAGCACCCTATAGCTCCAGAATACACACATTAAGGCTCTGAGCCCTCCTTCTCTCTAACCTGCCCCTCCATCAGCTACTTTAGGCTTTGTGAATGACAGAAAAACAGAGAAAAGAGAAATAAGAAGGAAAGAGCAGAATAAAGAAAGAATGGAGAGGGTCTTTCTGCTATCCATACCTGCCCAGCTTTGCAGAACTACAGAGTAGAAGCTATCTTTGAGTTGATCTTACAGATGAGAAAACTGGGACTCGAGGAGGAAAGAGCCTTCCTATAACCACTGAGGGAGTTAGGAATCAAACCAACCAAACACCAGAGAACTATTTTCTGGACAGAATCTTGGCCTTGCGTATGTCAGACCCACCTGGCTCCTCTCACCTTTCTTACACCGCGTCCCCTAACCTGGAGGCCCAACTATGACACAGTTAATCAATAACCAAGGAGACCTGTGATGGAGCCCAGTAGGTGGGGCCTCGTGGCCATCTGTTTATATGACCCTTCTAGCCCCAGGGTTCTGAATAGAGGTGGTAAGTTCAGTGCAGTTTTCGACTGACCTCTGGATACAGAACTTCAGCCATGAAGATAACAAGCATCTTTCTTCTCACTGTCTTGGCCCTGTTGAGCTCATCGGGTAGGTAACTTTGTATATTTTTCAAATGTTAAGTAAAAACCTGTTCGACCTGTTGCTTTGCTGAGCACGTTACCTTCTGAATTTTGGACACAGTCTAGTCATAGACAGATCTTTTGGTCTCCATGAGATGAAATAAAATCAATGGATGAGAACCATAGGAAGAGGAGTTTTTAACATAAAATAAGGAAAACAATTCTACTAGTGATAACTGTTCAGAGATAAAATGGTTTTCCTCTAGTGATAGGAAACCTTTGTCAGGGAGATGGTAGAGAAAAAAATGGTGGAAATACTTCAACCATAAATATCCTTCTCATTCTGTAAATGTCTAAGGAGAATTTACAAATTTTAGATTCTCATGGAATGGCATAAAATAGATAACAATGGCTTCTGGTTACTCAGTATAAAAGGCATAGTTTGACCGATTAAAAAACTTGTTTTTGACCTGCAGAATGTTTTGAAGGGAAATATTTTGCTTGAATAGATGGTTTACATTTATCAAACTACATCTTGACAATGTTGACAGACAATTCTGACCCCACAGAATTAAGATCAGTTTCCTTTCTATCATTGGAAATGATTAACATTTTCAACTCCATCTCTGATCTGGCAAAGAATCCTCCTGGGAGCCAAATCAGCACTTTGTTAAGAAGAGGAAGAATATTGTTGGTTGTACTTGCTAAATATTGATACAAACAGTGGTCCCTTTTCACTACGTAGTGAGCTAAGAACTACCTCCCTAGCTAGATCACCTTAGTGACTGTTGATATTAACATTAAGTCTCACCAACCTTTTCTCCTATGGGTGCTATCAGATTAGTTCCCTTTCCCTTCAGTGAACTCATTCACAGTTACTATCCCCTACATGATGTCAGCAAGACCTGCTATATTCTGGAGGATGTAGAATGGCTATTTTGACTATCTGTAAATTCATAAAATATAAGTTGGACCTACAGTCCGCATATGCAACTGTGGGAACTAGCTCCTTGGGAAGTGATGATGAGTTGGCAAAAAGAGCTCCATTTCTTAACATTACTTACAAAAGGGGACTTAAATGTAATTGCAAAAGTTAATTTTGCATCAGAAGACCTGGTTACTGCTAGTGAAATGATAACTGTTTCACAGCTAAGTTATATAAATTCTCCATACCTGCATCTGTAAACCAATAGAGATATACTTATACCTCACTCATTGTGAAATCAAAGGTGAGGAACTAATTGTTGTGAGAATGTAAGCGAACATTCAAAAGATAGTTGCTCAGTGCCTGATACATTTCAAGCAGTAAGAACATAATTTCTATTTTCAAGGAAATGGATCAACTTTTCTGAAATACCAAACTGAGTTACTTTGGTCATAATCAAATTTTTACTTAATTTTTTCAAGGTTTCAACAGGCAAGGAGTAGATGGAAACCAGACCTACATCCTTGAAAAAGGATAGATATCAGAAGGGTTGGGGAGTGGAAGAGGCCAGCAGAGAAGTCATAGTCTTCAATGAAAGCAGAGAGTTCTGAATCAGAATAGATCTGGCTTCTCTCACTTAGGACCCACTTAACATGTCTGATTTGTCTTCTAGGCAACTGTAGACCTAACGTCGAAGGAAGAAAGGTAAAGAGAATTTTGAAATTTCTTATTTCTCAGGCCGGAACTGTTTCATCCAACTAAAGAACAGTCTATCTGTCACCTTTCAGCTAAGCCTGAAGTCAAGATGAGGAGTATGAATGCTGGAGGTGCTTAACCTATGAAATACAAATAGTAACAGCAGTTCTCCCCCATGCGCTTATACTGAAGGAAAAATTCACTGATGCATAGGCAAGTTCTACGCAGTCGTACAATGCTTGCTGCGAGGGATTTTTTATATATACTAGTGCTAGCTATAGGACAAGTGTTTTAGGTGGAAGCCCTCTCAAGTCCACTCCAAGTAGCCCTTTCTCCTTAGAGCCAATTTGATCATGTTGGCATGCAGTTCTCCCAATCACCAAGGTGCAGCTCTAATTTATAAAGAACAACAGAAAATAATAAGTTAGTCTCTCCCTTAGAAAAACATTCTAAATCTAACTTTTTCATGTTTTCCTTTGTTTAAAAGGTAATTTCAGTAAATTTGGAGTCCAAAGGAAGAAGTGTTCCTTTTCTTATCACATTTATATCTAGTGGGAGGCAGCTGATAAAACAAAAGTTCATGAGTGAGTAAGTTATTACATTTGTGATAAGTGTTATGAAGAAATTCTAGAGGCCAGGCACAGTGGCTCATACTTCTAATCCTAACCCTTGGGGAAGCCAAGGAGGAAGGATCATCGAGCCCAGGACTTTGAGTTTGCACTGAGCTATGATGAGGCCACTGAACTCCAACCTGGGCAAGAGTGAGACCTTGTTAGAAGGAGGAGGAGGAGGAGGAGGAGAAAGAACAACTAACAAGTGTGAAGACTCCAACAACTAACAACTGACAAGTTGTTCTGGTGCCATTAGAGACTTACCCTAGAAATGAGGGAGGGTGCCCCTAAGTAAGGGAGAGTTATTTTGAGCCATAAAGGATAATAAATGTGCGTTAGCAAAACATAACTGGTGGTGAGACATATAGAATGAAGGGGTTAAGAGCTAAAACTCAGGAACTGGAATGACTGAGTTTGAATTCTGGATCCAGGAATTATTTAGCCGTGTGGCCTTGGGTAATTTCATCACTTTGTGTCTTATTGTCTTCACCTGACGAAGAGTATAATAATAAGTTCACAGGATAGTTGTGAGGTTTAAATAGAATAATATATAAAGAGCATTTAGAACAGGGTCTGGCCTAGAGCAGTCATTTGATTATTATTAACTCTTACTAGAATAAAGTGTGAAGACTCCAAGAATGGAAGACACCTAGTACCTTTAAATGCCTAAGAGAAGACCAGTGTGTGTGCTCTGCAGTGGGCAAGAAGGAAACATGCCCCAAGGTGTGGCCAACCTGAGCGGAGCCAGCACCTGCAGTAATTGTAAACTTGAACACTATCCCACTCATCTTAGGTAAACCTCATAACAGCACTATGAGATAGGTGGGAAAATAATATTATTCCCATTTTGCAGATGAAGTGACTGAGTTTCAGGGAAACCAAAGGGCTTACCGATATCATATGGCTTGGAAATAGCAGAGGCATTACTTAAAACCAGGTTTTCTGACTCCAGATCTTGGGTTCTTTTTCTTAGAACATGCAATATCATTCTCTCAATCCCAGTCATGCCCCAGAGAAATTAAAACTATTTGGGAGATTTTGTTACAAACTCAAAGAAAGAATGGAAAATGATGGGAAATTATTGTTTCATTTCATTTTTAGCCTGTTTGTGTAGATTTTGTTGGATGCCACAAGATTTATGATCCTGTCTGTGGAAGTGATGGACATACTTATCCCAATGAATGTACTCTATGTCATGATAATAAGTGAGTACAAACTTGAATTTTTAAAATATATTTTAAGTTAGTTGTCTTTAAATTTTTATATATCTATCCCTCTGAATCCCCAATCACTATACCAATAACATGAATCTTACCACAAGAAAAACAAAATATCTACTTTTTCCAAAAATAGTTCTCTTTTTTCCTCCTTTTTACATGTCTGGTATGATCATCTGATGTTTAGAAATCACTTATATGATAAAACACTATATTTCTTACAGCAAAACCCTAGATAGCTTGGATTTTTTTAATTTTTTTTTTTTGAGACAGAGTCTCGCTTTGTTGCCTGGGCTAGAGTGAGTGCCATGGCGTCAGCCTAGCTCACAGCAACCTCAAACTCCTGGACTCAAGCGATCCTTCTGCCTCAGCCTCCCTAGTAGCTGGGACTACAGGCATGTGCCACCATGCCCGGCTAATTTTTTCTATATATATATTTTTAGTTGTCCAGATCATTTCTTTCTATTTTTTAGTAGAAACGGGGTCTCGCTCTTGCTCAGGCTGGTCTCGAACTCCTAAGCTCAAATGATCCTCCCGCCTCGGCCTCCCGGAGTGCTAAGATTACAGGTGTGAGCCACTGCGCCCGGCCTGATAGCTTGGATCTTTTTAAAAAGCTCATATACACAGAATATCTTTAACTTTAAAAAAATAATTCTTGGTGATAGCAATAATTTTGTTTTCTAAAGCCTTCAAATATACAAATATAAACTGTATAGATTGAGTGAGCAGAAATGTATTTTTGTAACATTTTTTATTTGTGGATATGAGAGCCAGCCTCAGTAAAGCTTCATTTTCTGAAGTGTCCATAAGCAGATTTAGGTCCTACAGAGAAATAGGTTTGCCACACATTTTCCCTCTCACTCAGCAGCTGAACACTAACGTATGCCAAGCATTATGGTCATCTCTCCTGCTTTCACTGTGCTTGTGACTAAGAGAAAATGGGTCATGAGCCCATACATGATGGCTTCACATAACTTAGGGCAAATGCCAGAAAATGAGGTGTAAGTAAAATGCCGCAGAGTGAACAGAGATACAGACTTCTTCTCGTCAAAAAAGGGTCAAGAACGGATTCATGAAAAGAATGCCATGTCAGTTCGGCTCTGAATGCTGACGGCGTTGAAAGAGCATTCAGGTGAAATAAAGGTGTGGAATGAGGAAAACTAATCGAAGAGATTCCAGAAGTGACCTCAGTTCTTCTGGGATTGACTTGATATGTCTTTGACTCAGGCTCAAAGGACTGCATACATTTCCATTATTCCACTGAATAAATTCCCTCACCTATAACACAAACCCTCTTCTTGGGCTGTTTTAAACAATTTCAGAAAATTCTCAGCGTTCAGCAAGTATTGTGGAAATAGGTCCCCAGGGCAAGAGGTCTAATATCCTAAAGTTTTATATGCGAAATATTTGGTGTTCTGCTTTGTGGTGAATCTGTTTCCACAATTGAGACTTGTAAAGAAATTCGTAACCGCTTGTTACACTTGTTCATTTTCTCATGAACTATGTTGTTGACTTTAAGAGCATACATCATATTTCCACCCAAGGGGAAGAGAAAACAAGAGAACAGCCTTGAAACTTGCGAAATTTCCCAGTGCCAAGAACAAAAGGCCCAATATATAATTGATAGTGAAATATTAGGAAAATATGAGCAGAAAGCTGGGACACCCTATTCCCCTAGCCTTTAAAATCTACCAGTCCCTGCTTGTTCTTTCTATTAATAGTCTTTCAAAACTATGTGGGTATGAGAGGAACAGTCGTATGCCAGAAAACATAACCTCTCTTCTTTTATTTCTCAGATAATAAAACTTAGGTCTAGAGACAAAATGGGGCTTTCTCAAATATAACTTATCTCTTAATGTACTATATTGCCTTTCTGTCGCCCACTGAAGGTCCCAAACAAATCCACTACATAGTAACTAGAGCCAGGCCTGGACTCCGGACGTTGGGTTTTGAGACAAGTAGATAACACCAAGCAAGGGTTTACATATGGTAGTCTCTTTGGTCATTATGTGCTTGGAAGATATATTCAGTGAAGACTTTTTCTATTTCTTCTGTTTCTTCTTAGGGAATCTATACTGGAAAATTCCTGTCTATAGACGAGCACTGTCCAATAGAACTTTCCGTAGTGACAGCAATGTTCTATGTCTGTGTTGCCCAATACAAAACCACCAGCCACTAGCACTTAAATGTGGCTAGTACGATGAGAAATTGAATATTTAATATTCCTTAACTTTAGCTAATTTAAATTTAAGGAGCTATATGTGGATAGTGAACAGCACAGCTATAGAAAATCGATATCATTTACTCTGTTTAGATGCTTGGCCTATGTATGTTAACTGATTTGGAAATCAGTATTATGAGCATAATTAATGACTATGGGACAAGAAAGCATTAAAAACTCTTAAAATGAAACGTCAACAAAATCCAGATAAATGCATGCATAAAAATATATGAAAGTCAGACATCTACCTGTGATAGGGAAACAGAAGAATTTTTGTAAGCCAGTATATTCAAGGAAAGGATGGTTAGAAAAATGAGAGATCCGGAAACAGTCTTCTAAGGAATAATTATAAGGTTTAGAGCTTTTTAGCTTAGAGAAGAAAAAACTGTTTGGTAAAGGTCACGTGGGGGCAAGTAGAGAGGTTTTAATCTGGAGGGAAGGATGCGTAGAACTGGCAGGAGCCATAAGGGGTAAAGATACGATTTACTTTTACAAGACCTCACAGATACGAATCCTCAAGGTTCTAAGAGGAAAGTTCAGTCATTTAGAAGGCCCTGCAATAATAGCCCAGCACCAGCTGGAAAGCCGGTGGCGAGGGCAGTGGCATCAGAAACAAAAGAAGCAATGATGGATTAAAAATTAATTTCAGTAACTGTAACACTGTAACACCCGACCAGATCCGTAAATTCTGTAAGGACAGACATCTTTTCTTTCTGTTGTATTCTTAATGTATGTGATAGTAATCAACAAATATTTGGTGAATGAATGAATAGGTAAATAAATGAAAGAAAGAAAGAGAAATGGAAATAAATCTCAAACCTTTCTATTTTAAATGAAGCTCTTTTTCTGCTACAGTCACTTTTTTGTCAGTAAAGTTTAAGCGGATTTTTTTTTTCCAATCTCTACCACAGGGAGCGCCGGTCTCCTGTCCTCATTCAAAAAGAAGGAGCTTGCTAAGAACCAAGGTTCTGAAATCCCCCAAGGTCGCCACCATGCCTGGCTGGCCTGATTGTTGAATAAATGCATCTGAATACTTCTTGTTCTTAAATGCTTTTCTTCAAAGGTATGTTTGATTGGATCAGGGACAGGGGACCTGGGCAAGACTCAGACTGGACCAAGTTTTACAAAATACAGAAATCCTGTCATTTCAGACAGTTTCCCTCACAATACTTTTTCCTTTCCGCCTTTCTCACATTCTCAGGCCTCTGTCTTGCAGATATTAAGTGACAGGACACAGTTGATCATGAACACTTGCAATCCTGAAGAGAACTGGACTACCATTTTAAGGAATAATTGGAAAATTCTCAGCCCAGAAACATGTTACCCATCACCTTTAGCTGATTGAAATTAGGCTTCCTTGGGATTTAGTTGAGCATCTATTATACTTGGCACAGGTCTAGGCACATGGGCATAGAGCTGCCTGTCTGGTGGAAAAGAGTTCAGATCTTCTGATTTTCCATATATCTCAGAAGGTAGACTGTAGGTTAGACATGATCTTCTCTGAAAGACTATCCCTGACTTGTGAGTAAACTTACAAAAATGAAATCACCTGACTAATATCACCAGCAAACAAAGTGGCAGAGTTAGGCTTTTAATTTGGGACTTTTTAAGTTCAAGACTTTAATTCAGGACTTTTCATTCAGGCTTTTAACTCAGGACTTTGATTCGGGCCTTCAAGTCCAGTGCTTCTTCCTGTAAACCACTATCACCTGACATAGATTACTCTTCACCTATTTCTTCTATAGGAACTTCAGATAACATCCTCCTATTAAAAAGGTCTATGCATTTATACCCAGGGACAGGAATAAGACAGAAATAAAGAAGTGCCCCCAAATTAAAAAAAAGTGTCTACAAGTGCTTAAAAAAGAGAAGGAAAAGCAGCTTGAATTTCTGAGCTCGGGAAGAACTAACTATCCGAGAATGGAGAGGCAGGTATTAGGCGAGCAGAGCCTGAGAAACATCAGATTTTCTGATTTATAGCAGGGAATAGATCACCCGTTGAACTAGAAATAACCAATCAGGACTATTCCACACTTGGAAAACACAGTTGCCTGACACTCTATAAAGTTTAGGTTAATTTCTTATGATATTCAAAATGTCCATATTTTGAGGTTTCGATCTGACCACTAGAGGATGCTGTAGGCTGCCAAGCGACCGGGCTGAGCCAGAAGCTAACAGCTCTCAGCAAACACGGTGCAGACAGGAGTTATGGATGCAAGATGGCTTCCAGCACCTGTCTGGGATGCTAGAGGACACTTGAAGGGCACCTCTAATATTAAGGAATTTTCCATGGTAAATGGAATTTAAATCACTGAATGTTACAAATTGTCATGTCTAATTGGACCATTCTACAAGTCTGGAGAGAAGATGCTTGGCGATTATAAGCAGAGGCAAGACATAAACCCAGATTGTCTGCCTTTAATAGTTCTGCTTTCTCTCTGAGCCATCAGAAAACATGTGGATTGCTATGTTCATGGATGATGCTTATGTTTTAAAAGAGATGATTTACAAACCGGAATGTATTTAAAGAAGGGTAACTACCAGTGTTGATAAGAATTGGAAATTTTGCCCTATGATGAGTAGTTAAAAGAAGTAGGAAAGTTGGGGCCGAGAAAAGGGAAACCCTTAGAACTAAGTGGGTCTTTTGAAACAATTTAAAGGATGAGAATGTGAACACCATGAAAGCAGAAATTTTTTCCTTTGTTCAGTGCTGTATTACCGGCTCTGAACACATAGGAGGTGCTCAATTAATATTCTTTTTGTTACATAAATGAATGGGGAAGAGGAATGAACATGTTCTGGTTGCCCCTAAAGGGCAGAGTTTAGACTAATTGGGTAAAGATTAAAGAGATACTAATTTTGGCTCAGTAAGAAAATGTACACTGTAATGTTGAAGATCAGAGGCTCTGATTTAGTGAGCCTGGGCTTGAATCTGGTCCCACTGCTATCAATCCCTGTGTCCTGGGAGAAGTCACGGGATTCTCAAAGTCTCAGTCTCCTCATCTCTAATATGGAGTTAATGATAATGATGCCTTCGTAGAACAATTAGCTCAATGCCTGCCGTATAGTAAGTGTTCAAGAAGTATTAGCTATTATTATTTTTATTATTGTCTTGTAACCCTTTGAGATCACTAAAAAGGCAATTAATCATCTCCTGGTACATACACATTTCTATGATAGGGACTTTACTTCTTTATGTAACAATTCAAATTGCCTTATCGAATTGTCACGGATTTGTGGAAGGCATTTCTCAACTGGGTACAAGATTGGACTAAAGTCTCTGTGCTTTTAACTGTAAAAAATTCCAGAATTATAAACCACACCTCCAAAGTAGAAATTCAAGAGTAGTGACTGAGAATAAATTTTCTGGACTGAGAAGGGTTTTGTAGTCCCAGGAGGGAAGAGGGTAATAAACCTGTTAGGGCCAGAGCTGAGAGAGAGACACGAAGCCTCGTGTGTAGCAAAATGCTATTTAATTTTTATTTTGAGCATCTGGGTGCAGATGGGTGGAGGCGAAAAAACCGCCAACCCCAAAAAAGGAAAAAACCTGGGGTTCAAAAAAGGGTTTTCCAAGGGGGAAAGAAGAAAAACCGCAAAAAAAAGGGAAAGGGGAACCTCGGCCCTAACAAAGGGGAAAAGAAAGCCAACCGGGCCGCAACCGGCCTGTGGTTGAAGTTAGATTTATAACCTTGGACTCTCCAGACTCCTGCGGCTTTTGTTTCACAGGCTTTAGGATAATTTTTGGGTTCCCACCTGAAACAAACCTAACAAAACCCAGCTCACATTATTAGGTCCCCATTCCTGGATAAAGAAAAGACTATAATTGTCATCAAATGCAAGACCACAGAACCACAGGCAAGTTCCAAGAGGGCACAGTCATAGGGTCAATACATTTGTGTAGTTTCCTTTATTGATTTCAGAGTATTTGAAATACGAAGCTATCTGAAGAGAACAGTATAGCCAAAAAATTTTTGTCCCATTGGAGAAGTAAATTTGTATGAGATGAAACATTTTTTAAAAATAAATTACACTAAGCCTCCTGAGAAATAAGAACATGAAAAATATTGACCCTTTATTTCCATTTCTCTGACCAAGTTTATCCCTTAAAAACCTTAGGTTATTCCAAGCGTGCAGAAATAAAATTTATTTGCATAATAAAGGAGGCAATTTCATAAAACTGTACAAAGCTCTTATTTTTCCAAGCTCTAGCACTGCCAACAACTTCCTTTGTTTTCTTTCATTGTTTAAATGGTAGCAAAATTTCAGCTAAAAATATGGAATATGTAGATAGTAAAATGATGTTTGCAAAAAAGAAAGGAACAATATAGACTTTTGTTTTTAAACAAATCAAAAGTTACTAAAAAGCCAAAAAATAACAAAAACAAACAATATAGGCTGGTTGGAGATCAGGTGAAAAGCCTCTTACGTGGGTCAGATGCTGTTTGTGGTTATATGGTTTTTAGATGTGTTAAAAATAAGTAAATAAATCAAATGGAGGTCATGGTTTAGATACCCCAAGGCCAACTGCACATAGCCATGTAACGAAAATTTAAATCATTCTGATTTTCTACAGACAAATCAGTGTACACAGCTCTGTTGCCTTAAAAACAAACAGATGCCAGCCAATCACAAAAAAGGTCAAAAGACTTCTTCATTTATGCTCTATAAATTGTGCAGTAACTGCTGTAAAATTGACATTTCATAC